GCCACATACGCATTCAATCCGCCACTACGATTTTGGATGGAAGGGGAGTACGGACGGACGCATCCCTCAAAAGGGATTGATCAACCCCCAAGACATGACTCTACCTTTTAATTACTAACACTAGCCGTTTTGTTTATTTACCATGGGTTCAAACGAGAAAACAACAAAAACAAAAACCTAATACGAATCAAATGATGTTAATTCAGATCCAAGCTTTTGTTCATCCAACTGAGAACATTTCCGGGATTGCCTTGATGTGTAGTGTCCAGGAGTGGTCGCTAAGCGGCCTCTGAAACATTGTTAGACAAGAATTCCCTACCATAATGCTATTTTCGCATCAAGACCCCTCATTAGAAGCATATGAAATTACTTCGGCGATTTTCGATTATTCAGATTGGTGGACAAGTGCCATTGGCCATTGTTTACTGCTGAGGATTCATGATTTCTATAGAAATTCGGTGAATCCTCTGCGGCTTCATTTCGATTGTTCTTTTTTAACATCTTTTTCTATCGTGATGCTGCTTTTCTGATGGATTCGATTTGAAAGAAGAAGACAAAATAGCTGTAAAAAAGCTCGATAAAAGCTTTCGCTCGAAAAGCGAGCTCGTCAGAATTCTAGAGTTTTCGATCATAAAGTAATGCCTTTATGGACATCTGTGGTTATTTCAATTTTATCGCTTTTGACCCTTTTTCTATCGCAATGCAGCATAACACTTCAGTTTAAAGCGGGCCCATCACACTGTCCTAGACAGCTTTCATTCGCTCCAGACATTTGGTGAGATTGGCATCTGATCATCGGCTGGATCAACTGTTCCACATTATGACGGAATGACGAGTGCTTAACATGAGAGCAATCCTCAATACACTTAGCGACGACTTTTTTCCGAGTGGGTAATGAATGGGCGGAAATGGATGGTGGCAGGGCGCACTATTTCACCTGCATGGTCACGGGTTCGAATTCCTGATCGATATCCACTCAAACCAAGCAAGCATCCGACCGTCCGGGGTCGGCTAATTGATACCAGACTCGTCTGGGAGGGTAAAAACAATAGGCTTGCACATCGGCTAGCCTCCATAAGCATTGTATACGACCCCTGTACTAATCGCTGTTACGATTCTGAGTGGATATTGAACGCCTGGGCGCATCCAAAAACAGGATTGTAAAAGACTCATAAAGATATTGAAGTGATCGGCTACGTTATCTTTCTTGAACTAAACAGCTTATCACCTACACTACTGCTAGGGTTCCTAATGGTCATCTAAGAGCTTGTCTAATCAGGAACCATGATTGTCTCGATTCATCCCTGCTTTAGGCTTTATTTCATTCTCTCCCAAAAAGGCAAGTCCACTCCTGTGGGCCATTCAGGTCTTCCTTTAATATCCTGAGAGAAGCAGAACTCTCGCTTTGTTTTCTGTACGTCCAATCCTAAGGTAGCTACAGGGGCAGGTATGGTTACGTCTCTTCAAATGGCACGCACCCAAGGTCCGTCCACGTTATTCGATGTTGCTCTTCCTTAATGGGAGGCGGAGGGGGAGCAGAAAACAGGAATGATTGAGGCATTGTTCCTTAATCTTATCCGATTGTCCCGAAATATCTCTGTC